TTGGCACACACATATATGTTTTTCAAGCTGTTGACCTAGGATGCAAACTATAGTAAGCCAAGTAGGATCCAGCTCTCTTAACCATCAAGCCATAAGGCCATCCCTACCTTAATTTTCACAGATTTAAAATCAGTATTGACTTTATTACTTTGCATACCACGTTTCTGGAATACAAGCAATAATCTATATAAAACATTAACCTGGTAGATAGTTGTCTTTTCACTTTTGTTTTAGTCCATTGTGGTTACTGATAGACATACCTGAGACTGGACAAATTTAAGAGACTATAGGTCTATTTTTAATCACAATTTTGGTGGTTGGAAAGTCCAAAGATGTTAGTCTATGGTATGGCTGACAGAAACACAGGTGGTAGGCACTCGCAGAAAGTCAGTTGCAGGCAGCTATCTCTTTTACAGCGACCAGCTCTCTGTTAGAAGGTGTGTGAATCTCAGAAAAAGAGACTGTTGAGATCAATCTATTTCAGATAAGATCTTAATTAGGGAATTATAGCTCCAGCAGATCTGGAGTACAGATCCCTAATCGACACCTCAAGACTAAAGACATTGGGACCCAGCAGAGGGCATTAATGATTACATTGCTGGACTCCCACGTAGTCAACTGTGGTTCAAGTCCTGGACCCAACAGATTAAAATTCATGCCAGCCGTGTGTAGGTATGTGCTCAAGATCCCAAGAAGAAAATGGAGAAGGGATTGTGGCATGGCCATCCCCTAATTATCCTAAAATGTACCTGTGATTGCATGCCAATATGGAGAGGTTAATGCAATTGAAACAGTGTATTACTTACACTTCTCAAGAGAATAATACTACCTCACACAGACTCCCATGGGGAAGCACCAGAGTGGTTAGAAGACAATAACAGGAGAAAGCCAGAGTCTTGTTTGGGTTTCTGATTGAAAGATAAGACAGGGTAAACATTTTAGGATTGGCTAGTTTGAAACATTGTGAAGGGCTTTGAGACATCTGGGCTGTCCCTTTTTTTCTTGCACCTGGCCCTATGTAGTTAAGTTAGTGAAAATATTGTTTTGTATGGGGGGGGGCTATATCAGCTGGTCTGCACATGAAAGGTGTATTCTGGGTAAATAAGAGTTACAGAAAGCAGAGAAACAACTTTGCCCATTAATTTGGCTCTGTGATGAATACACTAGAAGTTGGGACTGGGGGACCAGCAGTTAGCACAATGGCTATGTCATGGGACTCCCATGTAGTCGACCGCGGTTTAAGTCCCAAACCGGGTGGCTTAAAACTCACGCCAGGTGCATGTGTGTGCTTGCCCAAGATCCCGAGAGGAGAATGGAGGAGAAGGGATTATGGCATGGCCATCCCCCCTGGGGGGGTGATTTCTTGCTTTCTCTCTCTGTCTCTCTGTCTGGCAAGTGCACGTGCCCTATAGCAAAAACCTCTTCAGTAAAAAAAAAAAAAAAAGGGCTGGCAGGTGGCATGGTAGTTAAGGGTGCTGAATTCCCACATGGCTGACTGGCTAACTGCAGTTTGAATACTGGACCTGGCAGCTTGCTTTCTCACCTTCACTCTCTCTTTCTCACTCTCATTCTGTCCCTCTTTAGGTAAATTTAAGTAAATAAATACAATATAATAATTCTTTTTCTGTCCCTCTCTGGTCAAATTTAAAGAAAGAAAGAAAGAAGTTGTAAAAAAACAAACAAACTTTATTTATTTTAATTTGACCAGAGAGAGAGGGAAAGTGAGAAAGCAAGCCGCCAGGTCCAGGACTCAAACTGTGGTCAGCCATGTGGGAGTTCAACACCCTTAACTTCCATATCACCTGCAGGTCCCTGAATACAGTAATTCTTAAAAAAAAAAAAAAATACAATAGAAGCTAAACAGACTAAGACTAATGTTAGAGGGCAGCCAATCTGAGCAAACACATGCAGAAACTTGGTTCTATGGACCATCTTTTGCAAGGCTAAATGAACACCAGTAACAAATGAATACGTGAGCTGTCTGTGTTCTAAGCAGTGAAGCAATATTGGTTAAAGGAAGCCATGTGTGATAATCAGAAAAGACCCAAGAAGATAAAAAAATTTACATAGAACTACATGGCACCAGATGTCTTCTCTTTAACCGATTAATATCTGACCACAACTGGCTTTGCATTCCACTTCCTCTTCCCCCCATTTTTACCCTTTAAAAGAATAAACCTGGGAATGGTTCAGGGTCATGGCTGCCTTCATCAGAGTTGATACCACCAATCCCTCCTTTTCACTACTTGTATGTCTTTGTGTGTTTATTTTTGTTTATTCTTTATCCACAGCTGCCACCACTCAGCTCATGCATTGTCCTGCGAATCAGGGCACTAATGCACAAAGAAAACACAGAACAATCTGTTTACATCCTCAAGGCTTCACACTTTCTTAAACTCTTCAAAGGGATTTACAGGTTTCTCTTTGGATACTTGTTGACTTGTTAGTCTCTAAAAAGTTTGCCTTAGGTGGGGTTTATTACCACTTTGTGGCCACTGCCAACCTCTCCTATCTGTTGCAAGGCATTGTGACCTGGGTGGGCCACACACAGCAGATTTTCTGAGCTAGGCTCTCCCAACTCTGTATTATCCAGGAAATTCTGCTAGTTCTTTGCTTGTGTGGACAGACATATTTGAAGTTTTGCGAGCTATATGTGATCAGACATGGCATTTCTGAGGGGTCAGTAAGGAAGGGGATGGAGTCAGGTGCTGCGAAGAGTGGAGGTAGGTGATAGGACACCGTCCAAGACCAGATGGCAAGGAAATACGGGAACTGAGACACACCTAAGTGTGCCAGCCTCCACAAAGGCCTTTAGTGAGGTCCCTAGGGGCTGAGACTCGCGGCCCAAACAGGAAGAGGAGCATGGCCTCCTCGCTTGGACACTGATCCTGCCCTTGGCTCTAGAGACCCGAGTACCCCACACCTCCGGTTCCACCCCTTAGGCCTGGGTCCTCTCTCTGGGGCCAGAGGCTTCCTCCGACCTCCAGAAGTCACCGCAAGGGGGCACCCGACAACACGCCTGCGGGGCTCAGGCAGGGGCGCGACAGAAACGCCTCCAGGCGGAGCTGCCCCGCGGAGAGCAGGAGGCCGCGAGGGCCGCACGGAGACTGTCCCTGCAGGCGCGGAAGACGCGTAGGGGGCCAGTCTCCTAAGAATGGCCCTCGACCCCCGCCGCCGGGGAGAGGGCCGAGTCCTGCGTGCCCGAAGCAACGCGTTTTTCTCCCGAATCTTCTCAGGGCCTGAGCGCTCCGCGTTCCGGACTCTTCGGCAGAGAACCGGGTCCGGAAGGAAACGGGCAGAAGCGCGGGGCGGACTAGAACGCTCAGGCAGGGGCCACAAGGGGCAGGACGGCGGTGTCAGTTCACCCTAAGGCCGACGGCTGACGCCGCGTCCAAGCGACCCCGCACTGGTAGGCCCATCCGGATCGGAGCCTCAGGAGCCACTGGGACAGGATCTTCACCCCTTGGACGGCTGATCCTGGAGGACATTTCTGAGCCGTCGAAGACGGGGCCGATAGAACCACGCAGAGACCTGCATGCAGTCCCTTTAAGGAGCGACAAGTCGGTCCCCTCGAGGCGGCGACGCCTTTTGCAGAGCCCACCCGAAGCCCCAGGGCCTTTGTTCCGGGTGACGCTTAGGGACAGCGCAGGAACGGCCAGCAGTGGAAACTACACTACCCATAATGCCCTGCCCTGGCAAAAACAGCGAGCCAATGAGCGCGCAGAGCAGGGGTGTCTCTGTCCTTAAACCATGTCGGCGGGGCGGGACTTCCGGCGTCGCTCTGGTGGCGGTCATTTTGGCTGTTCTTGGCTCGCCGCAGTCGCCGGAGTCAAGAACGCGGAGCTGGGTTAAGCGTGACGAGAGTGGGAAGCGCGAGAAGAAGGGTTGCCTCGCTGCACACCGGCCTGGCTTCAGGGTCCGTGACGGGGGTGACGGCTTTTCTCGGATCCCGCCCCTGTCGCCCTCCGCGCCCGTCCCGCCCCGCCTACAGCTCCGGATGGCGGGGGGGATGGCGGCGGCCGAGCCGAAGGAGCTGGCGCAGGTCTGTGCTCATCCCCCCGCCTCGCCGCGGGCAGCTCACCCACGTCCTAAAGCCCAGGGGTTGGCGCGTGCTCAGGTCCCTGCAGCCTTGGCCCCTGTGCGAGGGTGCGAGGTGTTCGTGGGTGGGGTCCGCGTTTCCGACGTGTAGAGCGGTGGGCGTAAGAGTGACGGGCTGCCCGGTGCGTGTAAAGTCTTGGAGGAGCTGCT